TTTGAGATAACCACCATGGGCAAATTGGCATATAATCTCAGGAGGCTGAGGCAGGAGAATCACTTTGAGTTCGAGACCAGCCAGGGCTACATAGTGAGTTCCAGGTCAGTCTCAACTACATAGTGAGACCCTGTCTCAAAAAACCAAAAGCAAAAAAAAAAAAAAAGTGAATGTTTATATTTTATTTTTTAATTATTACAGCAAAATATGCATTGCCATTAATCCTCCTCAAAACACCCTCCTCACTTCAAACACAATTACCCCATCATTATCACGACTTTCTGAAGCAGTTCTGGGAAGCAGACGCTCCGTCGTGAATGTCTTTAGTCCTGTTGGTGTGGCTGCTTCAGTATCCGGAACCCGTTCAAAATGTTTACTGTTCGTGGTCATTTGACTTTGAGGAAGACCCAGAAGTCACACGGCGCGAGACAAGGCAGACGAGGACATCCCTAAGGTTTTCGTGAGCTCGCCTTTCGGTTGAGTGGCACGCGGCAGCAGCCTTCACCATACTTCGGATCGCACCTCTTAGAGACGCTCACGAAATAAGACTTCCGGACCTGCTTCAGAAAGTGGCAAGAATGACGGGGAAAGTGTTTTCAAAGCGAGAAGGTTATTCTGAGGTGGGCTGAGGGCAATGTGTCTTTAACTATGCTGAATTTTTAAAATCTTAACATTCACTTTATATTTTGATCATTCCTTGTGTACACTGAATATGTGTTATACTGTATGCCTGTTCGCATAGATGCAGTTAAAAGTGTTCTTGTTGATTTCACTCTACCATTTACTTTCATAGCAAATACTATGGTATAAATAAATAAATATTATACTATTTAAAAATCCTTCGTATGTAAGGTTAAACTTCCGGAAAAAGAGCAGTAGGTAGATGTCTAACATTCACATTTTTTGGGGGGAGTGTTTCTATTAAATAGTTATTTATTTTAATTTTATGAGTTTCATTGTATTATGCAATCTGTACTTTACCGGGAAATAAAATAAAGCATTGAATTTTTTCCTCATTGAGTTTATTGGTACATTTAGGTATATAATACAGTTACATTCATCATTGGGATCTTGTACCTTTACATGACAGGTCTTGGTTATTATTTTTTCCCCTTCACCCCCTCCTCCCTTCCCTATTTACAAAAACTTTATTTCCATTTTTTTTTCATTTTCTCATATTTTTTTCTTTTCCCTTATTTCCTTTGCCCTACCCTTCCCACATCCCCTACATCTTTAGCCCTTTTCTTCCTATTACACACTGTCAATTATACCATCAGGATCTTATGTACAATTATAGTTTTCCACACCAGAGAAAATATTTGGTATTAAACTATTGAATTTTTAATATGTCTTGAGTGTTTATAATAAGCATAAACATTTTCAACATCAACTATTTACAAAACCTAAAAAATAACAAGACGTAAATTCCTGTATGAACAACAATGAAAATACAAATAAAACTCTACAACAATAATAATCTTTACTTCAATTACTTCTATTATTATTGCTTTACCCATGAAAACAGCATGTTCCATACACGAGTATCACTTACAGGGGTAGCACACATGTATTGTTTTCCTGTCTTCTTTTTAGGCCATGCTTGAGATCTCACTGGTCTTGCTGCTTTGTTACGAGGTTCTTCTGATCTTTCACCTGTCTGTGAACTGGTCTGCTCCAGAATTCTTTTGCACAGTTCTTCGGGCAGATACATGTTGTTCTTTAACTAAGGAAATTGATCTGTTATCGATTCCAGTCCCAATTCTCTGGTAAAAATCTCCCCATGATATTTTGTACTTGTTATTTTCATTGCTACAGTACAGAAATATGAATTCATATTTTCATGCTAATTGCCCATACCATGGGAGTTCACTGAATTTATTAGTTTTCATTTTTGATGGAGTCTTTAAACCTTCACATATATAAGATCATCTTACTCTCTCAAAATCAGAAATGAAATGAGACTGAGTAGTGACATGAAACCATATATGTAAGTATAAAAATTCCTTTGTAAAGCATATGTACTGCACTCTACATAACTGTACGTTCATATAATACATACATGTATTATATGAAACTGGGAATTGAACCCAGAGCCTTTGAACCTGAGCTACATTCGTGGCATTTCCTTTCCATCTTTCTTTCTTCTTTCAATGAAATGAGACTGAGTAGTGACATGAAACCATATATGTAAGTATAAAAATTCCTTTGTAAAGCATATGTACTGCACTCTACATAACTGTACGTTCATATAATACATACATGTATTATATGAAACTGGGAATTGAACCCAGAGCCTTTGAACCTGAGCTACATTCGTGGCATTTCCTTTCCATCTTTCTTTCTTCTTTCACTTTTTATTTTGAGACAAGGTCTCACTGAGTCACTAAGTTGCCCAGGTTGTGCTGTAATCTGTGATTCTTGCCTCAGCCACCCAGAATGCTGGGATTATAGACAGGTGCCACTATGCCTATTAAATAAAATACATAACAGTATCACTTAAATTTGGTAAAAATGTTTAAAGACAAAAATGTTAACCATAACTGTAGTGACAATTATTTGCTAATACTTACCAATAGATGATACCAACTGTGAATAACATGACAGAACATATTAAAAGCTGGCACAGGGCTGAGAATTCAGCTCAGTGGTGCCACGCCTGCCTCTCAAGTGCAAGGCCCTGAGTTCAATCCTCAGTACCAAAAGAAAAAAAAGTTGGGGATAATAAGGGGAACATTTTCTACAGAATCAAAGGTTAGTTTTTATCCACTTAAAATAGTCATTTGTAATTTAGTTTATAAAACCTGTACCATAATCACAAAAATGCAGTGCACATATGAAAAATATATCCAAGAAACAAAATATGCTGCTGTAGAAAGGCATCAAGTCACAGAGAAAGAGAGGAGAGAATAAAAGTCTTTGTAGGTAGGGAGGGAGGAAGGGTTAAAGGGAGGGCAGGGAAATGGAGAAAAAAATAAGAACCAAGATGGATTTTATAAAGGTGCAAATTTCCAATGATGAATGTTGCTATACTATATACCTTAAATGTACCAATAAAATCAATTAAAAAAGGAATGAAGGGATTGCAAAACAGAAAATGACAATACAAAACTCTTATCTATTAATGGATTAAATATTAATTGAATAAATATTAAATCAAAAGGCACACTTGCTGAATACATAAAACACGACCCCAGAATATGCTGCCTATAAAAAAATCGCTTCACTTTAAGGGCACACATACATTGAAAATTAAGAGATGGATCCCAGAACAGCTCAAGAGTAGCTATTTGCATACCTAACAAAATAGATTTTAAAACAAACTGTAACAAGTTAAAAAGAAGGGGTGATTACATAATAACACAAAGGCAAATTCATTAAGAGAATAAAACAATTCAATAATGTATGAATACACATCCAACACTGGGTACCTAACTATATATAAAGCAAATATGAAGAGATCTAAAGGGAAAAAAGCAATGCAAC